AAAACTCTGAGGCTTTTAAATATAAAGTTCAGAAACCAGTGGGTAACATCATGGTGAGAGCAACCATCCTTTATATATAGTCTGTGGTTCCAATAGCCTTAAGATCAGGGGTCACAAACATACAACTTCCAGCCCACTGCATGACTTTATAACGTGTGGAAATTGTGGTGAACGAGGCATCATTTCTTTGTCTTTGTGTGTTTATTGCACCAGGAAGCATTATGTTGTAAGTTATTACAAATGCATCTCTGTATGAGTAGTATGAGTTTACCACCTTTTTAATTCCACCCAAGTACAAATACAGGAGCATTCTTAATGTGTTTGCTGTTAGCATAGCAGTTTGATAAGTTAAGTCATCTCCAGCTGTGTACTCTCATTTTTTTTGGCAAAAAGAAAGGAAAATATTTATAGGTAATAATTTATGGTTTACTTGAAATAAAATGAGTTTGACACTGCTGATCTAAGGGTAAGGCCAGTTTCCACAGATGTCAGTTTTGTACTGCATACTGCAGACGGTGGGAGCTACTTCTGCTATGAGTCTTCAGAAACACATGCTTTTACTTTAGGGTGAGAAAATGTCACACTGCTGCAAGCATCTCTTCACAAGTTTGAACACGCGATGCACGTCGTAGAGCTGAACTGGTGATGTGGGTCTAAGTAAGTGAGACCTGTTACAAACCCTCAGGCAGCTGTATGGTGATACAGCTTTAGAGAGGTTTGAGTTACTTCTACAAACTTGCTCACTGTAAATACTGTATGAAATATACTCAATCTTCATGTTAAGAGGTCTGAGGTTGTTGTTTTTTTTTTTAAATTCTCTGAAAACTTTTGTTGAAATGATTCTGTGGGTTCCAGACTTCAGACAGTCATCGACTGTAAAGGATTTTCATCCCAGTATTATAAACGATCCTTATATTTAAATTTATGCTATGTTGTCTGATTTGAGTCTCTGTACATGGTGAAAAGTGTAGAAAAATGGCTCTAAAAAAGTAGATTTTCAAAAATCTCACATTAAATCTGAATGTCTGCACTTCAATCACACAGTGATTGTTTGATCTCAGTTCCGGTGGTGTAAAACTACAAGAGATGCGTTTTTGTCCAAGAAATTATAGACTGTACTGTGCAAAATGTCCAAAAATAATGAGAAGCAATTAAAATATGTCTTCAAAATAAATATTTTAGTTTAATGTTATGCTGTCATACCCCATGGTTTGTCCTGTAGTTTCTCTGGAAATTAGAAAGTGTGAATGAGAAAAATAATTTCATACGTAATTTCATGTATTTATTCATCTCCATATTTCTACCTAAATGGAAAAAATTATGAATCTTAATAATTTTTTATCACTACCATGATCATATTCATATTTCAAATGCATTTTGTCAAATATATATCTGAGATTCTTTATTTAGAAGAATATAACAAGTGAGTGAAAGCTCTTGCTCTTTTAACTTTTCACAGTTTGGTCATTTCGGCAACCAGACCAGTGATTCGCACTATAATGAAAGAACTATAAGCATCAGGCTTTGGATTCTGATAGAAATCTCTAGAACAGAAACAAAAACTCTTTACAATAAACCAACAGAAGAAAGGGACTTAAATATGTCTAAATATATGTATTGTACTGAAAGTGACTTAATAATCACTCATGTAATATATACAACAATATCGCCAAGAGAGGGTGTAGTGTAGTAGAACAGAAGGACAAAAACAAC